CGCCATATGTATCCATGATAATCTTCTTGACTTTTTATGGAACTGCTATCAGTTCTTGGTAGCTAATGTATTTCTTCTTTTCCTTCAGGCGTGAGCTCATTATCCCAATTTTTCCTCCTTATTCTGCTTGTTAAGTACCTTTCTCACTGCGTTATAGTATTGAAACGCGTCAGGAAATCGATTCTTCACCATCTTGCAAAGTGCATTCAAAGTTAGGATAAGACTCTCTTTGCTTTTGTAAAGACGTATCAATTCAGCAATCATGTCAGAGCTCTGAACACCATATACTTTCTGAAAATTTGCATCGTCCTGTTTGTTGGGATATTGAATACGAGCAATAAATTCCTTAGGATCCCATTGCATGGTCTCCTTCCCCGATTTGAACAATCGCAGGTTCATTGTGGCTTTGGATAGCCTGTCATTGCTCATTTCGAGATCGCGAATAATTGTTTGTTTTAGTTCATCTAGATTCTGAGTTTTGGATTTAAGCTTTGACATGTTGTTTATTTCGTGCTTATATGTAAGTTATCACAAATAACGCGATTGCTTCGAAATCTGCTAAGACGTATAAAGAGTTTCGTGTCAACCTTAGCCACGCGCAGGCCTTAAAGGTTTTGCATGGAAAGCCTGTTCGATTGACGCATGCGCAGCTCAATGCTGGTCCTACCCACTCTTTTGGACCCGAGACGTATAAGAAGCTTGTCAAAGCGAATGAATCTGGTAAAGGAACGACTTTACATATGACTCACGGTGAAGCTTTACGTCTGGACTCGATGGAAGTGGATTTTGGGGAGACTTATGGAATGGCGCGAAAGAAGCTGGAAAATCAATTTGGGGGGTTTTGAAAAATAATTGGAAACCATTTGCAGGCTCTGTAATGGATACAGTTGCTGATATCACCGCACAAGAAACTGGTGGATTCAGTCACGAAATCCGTAAAGGAGTGAAGCAATTAACTGGGGCTGGCATGACTCAACCTCGTCGCAATCGTCGTATTGCTGCCTCGGCAAGCTTTCGACTTGGTTAAAGTCAATAGGAAAGAAGAATCCATAAGGCGTGGCTCCACTTTCTTTGTATCGCTTGAATGTGATACGCTTGTCCAACGTCGATATCTTCTCACAAAATTTTGATCGCTTATCAGGGACTTCACCAGATGTCTCACGCCACCTTTGATAATGCTGATACATAATATCTCTCTCCACGCAATATAGGCCTTTCGACTCACTGTGTACAATTCCATTTAGTCCAGATTCATTAACCCAATGAACGCCGTAATCTGTATAATACGTAATATGACATGATGCAGGTTTAAATGAATCAACAGCTTGGACGCGGCGTCGTTCAGGCTACTACACCGCATATATAAGTTTGTACAGACCACCATGGGAGTTTTTATCATTATTGATCGGCGAGGGGGAGATAGAAAGGTACTATTCGAAACACATAGAAAATCCAATATAAACGGCCTAGAGGTTTGAAAATTCTAATGCAAGCCCTTTAGCTCCTCTCTGCCCAAAACCTCCACCACTCAACCAAAAATGCCGGAAACGATCGACAGGAAGGAGTTTAAGCGTCTGTGGGGGTCGCTAAAAAAGGCTGGTTGGCGGGCAAGACCTCCTTCAGGTCCCCTCTCCGATCATGCGTATCTCAAGCCTGGCGTGAAAGGAAAGCTAGACAACTACAAGGCTGACACTGATTACTTTATCGGTACGTTGTGTTTAGCAGTAATAACTACTCCGTCTAACCCTGTGTGGTGTAGGTCCCAAGCCTTTGTGGAAGTATGCTCTGCGTGAGGGTCTAGTACCTTTCCCCCCTCAACAATGTATGACGGGATGCTCTACAGCTCCAACGACTGTAATGCGTAGAGCGAAGGGGGAGACAGAGCGTGTTGCGGTACCGTGCCCGCAGCTTGTGGTTGATTATCACCAAGGTATGGGCGGAGTAGATCGCCATGATCAACGCCGCCTTCAGCGCTATTCAATCCAGCTTACTGTGGCCTTCAAAAAGTACTATCGGCAACTCTTCATGGGTTTTGTGGACATGGCGATAGTCAACGGTTTTATTTTACATATAATTATTCTCAAGCAAAAAGGGCTGCCAGTGCCAACACACGCGCAGTATATGCGCCGACTTCATACCGAGCTTTTGGCCACGAACGAAGCCACACTGCGTACAAACACCAACGCCGAGGACCTCGTTTCTGAGCCTATTCACACGCAACCGCACAGACTGCGAAACAATGAGGAAAAGTACGGAGGCAAGAAGCGAAAAAAACCCAGAGATGGATCAACCGCCAGCAACCTCCAGCGTAAAGGGCAGAAGCGTAAGGGCAAGCGCCGCCAGCACTTGTGCAACGTTTGCTCAGCCTTGGCAACTCCCCAGACAAAGAGCTTTGAAACCAGTTACTACTGCGAGCAGTGCACATCAAACTTCGGAGGCTACATACCTCTATGTAACAAGGTTCGCCACGAGGAAACCGGCAACACGCTCACATGCGGTTAAATATGGCATGATTTGTGGCGCAACGGCACTGCCATCCCTGCTCACCTCAAGAAGCGTATTCGCTTCCGCAAGCGAAAGAACTTCGAGATTTCGAGCGACAGCGACGACGGCGGCAGCGACGCGAATGAGGATTGCGTGGATATCCAGGATAGCGAGTAACTAGGCGTAGATGATGCAGCCCGTACACTCACCAATTTTTCGGCCAGTTCTTGCCTAGTTCTTCTTCTACTCTTGCTAGTCTAGAACTGGCCAAAAATTTGGTGAGCGTACTGGTGACGTAGTGGCACGCTTCGCCTCGCATTTAGGCGCAAACGCAGATTGCCCAGACCCATCAGATTCAGCGGGATACTCGAAGTAGAAGGATATGCGACAAAAGTCACGTCACATTTGCCCGATGAAATCATGACATTTTACCAGCCGGTGGGCACATTGTTGTTTTTCTACGACAGATTGCAGTCTATATGTACCTGGTCGCAGCGTTTTCGCTACATCCCATTGCGGACGGCTTGCAATGCATTAATTTTGCAAAAGTGGCAGCTATAGTTTGTTATAGATAATCATTTACTCTGTATTATACAGAATATCATGAAGCGGGCATTGGGTTAAGTTCATTGACATAGTTGGCAATGCCCTCATTGCTAGCAGTTGTCATAGAATCATAGATAGGAGTTCGAAAGAAGATTTTTTGGCTTGGGATTGGCAAACTGCTTCAAATATGTGTCGAATTTGCTCATCTCATTATCATTTTTGATCACATCATCAATCATCTTTCCATTATAAACCTTGTTGTGCTGTTCCGCTGGATTTACATCGAAAATTGCCATCTTGTCTTCGACGATGCCAATCAAGTTGTTGGAAGCACCAATAAATTCAGTGATGTTGCTATGTACTTCTTCTTCATGGTAAATTTGTTTTTGATTGTACGGACTCGGTGATAGCAGACTTCCTTCACTCAAGGCAATTACGAAACGAGCGCTTATCGCCAGCAATTTCCACAAACCAGCACAATTTTCTATGTTTAAGTTGCGGCGATCCACGCTCGCCAAAGACATTAAGATGCTGAGTCATGTCAGTATTTGCTGTTCCCAGAAGACTAGTGAGGAGCTTGAAGAAATTAGACTTCCCCATTTGCTTCTCCATTGAACATAACACGAGCATAACCTTCGTCTTGTAGTCTGTATAGTGACAAAGGCTACCAATATACTCCATCAACCACTGGTACCTCTCAGGATGGTTGAAGCAAATGATACGCTTCAGGTAATCAATTAGCACTGGGTGCAAGTCAGATTCGGTAATTTCTTCGTGCAAATAAATCGCCAGTAGTGGATTTGCTAAGCTGAATGTCTCCATGTCATTTGGATCATGTTCCCATTTGCAGACAGTATTTGCACACTTGTGGAATGGAACCGTATTGAAAAGGTCAGACAGCTTGATGGAGCGTGGCTTTTTGCGCTCCATTTCTTCCTGTTTGACTTTAGTTTTTGGTCGGAGATTAGGAGATGTCTCATCTGGAGCAGGCGCATCACGTTTACGTCTCAAGAACGCTTTTGCGATTTAATGGCCTTATCGTCAATGTCTTCTTTAGTAGTCTTACGGTTATGCATAAATACCTTGCTTCTAAAGTCTTTTTTTTCGTCAAGTATTTTTGAATACGATCTTGAAAAGCTTCTTCCACATCCATTTTTTTCTTTCTTTTAGTGTAATCGAAGTGGTTCATATGATTCGTGAATTTTCGTCATTGAATATTTTCTCGAACGAGAAGCTCGGTGGAGCGTTCATGCTCCCGTCCGTATCAGTTTGCTGAGGGACATACTTATATTTTTTTGAAGATGTGGATTCGGATTTGGTTTCTTTTGGTTAGGGTTTGGTTTCTTTTGGTGAGTCATGGAGCTTTCCTTCGTCACCCTTAACTACTGGAGGAGCCTTCTTCGTGAGCTTACTAGTGATCTGATCATAGTCATAATCTCGTGATTTGCCCATGACTTGTTGGCACAGAGTTGCCAAAGAATCGCTGCTAGCGAGGTCTAAAGCTTGCTGCTGAATCCTTGCTTTCAGCTTCGCGCCTTGGACAAAATCACTTTTGGTCATTGCATTGTAGTAGCGATCATACGCTTTTTGCTTAGTTTGATTATCAGTGAAGAAGCCGCTCATTTGTGCCTGGATGCTATATTTGGCAAATAAAAAAATACTAATTGATAGCGGGTTGGCATTAAGTTTTCAACCGCGCCTAGAAAGACAGTGTCCAAAGCAGTATCTACAGTTGCTACGACTTCACGTAGAATATGAGAATAAATCGTAAGCGCGTAGTTCGTGTTGTTCGTACCCGAAACAATGATCGACTTGCCTGCACCATCTTCGCTGGGTAGACGACGGCCAATGT